AGTCGATCGCGCCCGAGATCTTCGGCCACGACGACGTCAAGAAGGCGCTCCTGCTCCTCATGGTCGGCGGCGCGACGCGGAAGATGTCGGACGGCATGCGGATCCGCGGCGACGTCAACATCTGCCTGATGGGCGACCCTGGCGTCGCAAAGTCGCAGCTGCTCAAGTACATCGCGAACACGGCGCCGCGCGCCGTCTACACGACGGGCAAGGGCTCCTCCGGCGTCGGCCTCACCGCCGCCGTCGTGCGCGACACTGTGACGGGCGATCTGGTCCTCGAGGGCGGCGCGCTCGTGCTGGCCGATATGGGCATCTGCTGCATCGACGAGTTTGACAAGATGGAGGAGGGCGACCGGACAGCCATCCATGAGGTGATGGAGCAGCAGACTGTCTCGATCGCAAAGGCGGGCATCACCACCACCCTCAACGCGCGCACCTCCGTCCTCGCCGCCGCCAACCCGGCCTTTTCGCGCTACAACACCAACCGCTCCGTCGAGGAGAACATCAACCTGCCCGCCGCGCTCCTCTCGCGCTTCGACCTGCTCTGGCTGATCCTCGACCGGCCGTCGCACGCCAACGACAAGCGGCTCGCCGAGCACGTCACCTACGTCCACCGCTTCTCCACCCACCCCGCCCTCGAGTTCGACCCCGTCTCGCCGCAGCTGATGCGCGCATACATCGCAGACATTACAAAGATCGAGCCCTCCGTGCCGCCGGAGCTGGCCGCCTACGTGGTGGACGAGTACGTCGCGATGAGGCAGGACGCCGCTGAGAACGTCGAGAACGGCTACGGCTTCACCTCGGCGCGCACGCTGCTCGCGATCCTGCGCCTCTCGCAAGCGCTCGCGCGGCTGCGGCGAAGCGGGACCGTCAGCCGCGACGACGTGGTGGAGGCGCGGCGCCTCATGTCGCTCTCCAAGTCGTCGGTGCTGCAGGTGGGCGACGACGACCGCGACAAGGCCAAGCAGCGCGGCGATGCCGTCTCACAGGTCTACCGCATCATCCGCGAGCACTGCGACAAGTCCAAGGCGCCCGCCGTTGCGATCGCCGAGATCCTGCCGAAGGTGCTCTCGCGCGGCCTCACGCAGGAGGCACTCGACGAGTGCCTCAGGGAGTACGCGGAGCTCGACGTGTGGCAGCTCGCCGGCAACGGCACGATCATCCGCTTTGTCGATGCCGGCGACGACGACGACGCGTAGCTGCCGAGCAGAGCTAGTAGCGCCCCCTTTTGTGCGTGGGGCGGTTTATCGCGTTTTGTGGGCGACGGTGCCGCTCTCTGTGTACACATGTGGAGTCCCCGTGGAAAAGGCATGAAAGTTGAAGGTTACGTTAACGACTGGGCGGTTACAGGTTACAACGTGCAAGCACCAAGCAGCTCCTCGCTCTTGGGCTACCCTGTTTTTGGTTCTCGTGGGACAAAGCGTTATGGCCCTGCGACACCGCGCACACACCCCTTCCGTACCATGCGGAATCGACCCTATCCAGTGCTCAAGTGCTCAACAAAACTCTCTCGCACAACACCGGCACGGGACTGGTGCGCACTGGCACAAAAAGGAGTCCCCGACTATCTAGAGTCCGCTCTCATTAACTCGGGTATTTCGGACGCGTCCCTGGACGGACGCATCATGGTTGGACCTCCCACTCCGTCGGCAGTCGCGCGTTACCTGCCCCACCCAACCCCTGCGCCTCCATACACGGAGGGCGAGCTAAAAGTACGTACACGGAGAAAGGGAGAGGGAGGTGAAGTACAAAACGGCTACAACATGGCCAAGCCCCTTTGCCTCACCAGCAATGTGTTCAAGGACCCGCATCTCAACTTTGCATTTGGAGGCACCGCCGATTTTCGCGGCCGCCACGGCGTGCTCTACAACTTTCTGTCTGCGCCGGGCCTTTCAGTCAACATCAAGACGGAGGAGGCGATCTTCAAGATCCACGACGGCGCGCTCACGGTGAACGGCTCATTTTTGACAGAGGCGCACGTGGTCGTGCGAGTCGGTGCAGTGGGCGGGCATGCCGGGCACAAGGCGACCGCCTCGTTCTGGTCGACCGAGCTGAACGAGCACAACTGGGGCTTTCAGGTGGTGAACGGAAGCTGCGGCGGTCGCCCCTTCAAATTCGGTAAACACGGGGGGAAGAAGTGCTTCGAGCTCACCATGGCAATGGAGCACTCTTCCGCCTACTTCGCCCTGCCGGATTGGACCGTGACCGTCCACGGAATGCGCTCTGTTCCAAACGACCTGGACTGGGTCGCGGGGCCCCGCCATCGGCTGGACATCAGCTTCGCCAGCCGCGGCTCGCTCGCCCGCTCCAAGCCACACGGACTTATAGGCCAGTCGTTTGCCACCCCGGGCCTGGTTAGGAACGGCAAGGTCGACGAGTACCCGTGGGAGGGTTCCTTCACCACAAGCGCAATGGCCGAGGGCGCCATCGAGGGAGTGGCGTCGCGGTACGAGGTGGCCTCGCCGTTCGCGACATCCTTCGCTTTTGGGCGCTTCGACGCGGCAGCTGTTAATGTCGATCCCTCTCCGAAGCACGAGGCCTCGGGCGTCATCGACGCCTCCTCCGTCGAGCGCGTCTCAGCGCCGGCGCTAGCCGCAGAGCGGCGCCGGCTCTCCGAGGCTCCGTGCCCGCCACCGTCGCCAGCGGCGGTCGCCGCCTCCCCGCCGCCAGTGGCAGTCGCCGCTTCCCCGCCGCCAGTGGCAGTCGCCGCCTCCCCGCCGCCAGTGGCGGTCGCCGCCTCCCCGCCGCCAGTGGCTGTGGCCGCCTCCCCGCCACCAGTGGCAGTCGCCGCCTCCCCGCCGCCAGTGGCAGTCGCCGCCTCCCCGCCACCAGTGGCAGTCGCCGCCTCCCCGCCGCCAGTGGCAGTCGCCGCCTCCCCCCCGTCCCCTGAGCCATCGCCTCCTCCCCCACCATTGCCCGGTCCTCTTGAGCCGTCGCCGCCGCCTCCCTCGGCCTCGCCGTCGCCGCCGCCTCCGTCGGCCTCGCCGTCGCCGCCGCCTCCGTCCGCCTCGCCGTCGCCGCCGCCTCCGTCCGCCTCGCCGTCGCCGCCGCCTCCGTCCGCCTCGCCGTCGCCGCCGCCTCCGTCCGCCTCGCCCTCGCCGCCGCCTCCCTCTGCGTCGCCCTCGCCGCCGCCTCCGTCGGCCTCGCCGTCGCCGCCGCCTCCGTCTGCGTCGCCGTCGCCGCTGCCTCCGTCCGCCTCGCCGTCGCCGCCGCCTCCCTCTGCGGCGCCCTCGCCGCCGCCTCCCCCGCCACCACCGCCGCCGGGGCCGCCGCCGCCACCGCCACCGTGCCCGTGCGTGTCGACCTATCTAGCCTACGCAGGCTGCGATGATGACTACTACTCGTGGAAGCCGGCGACCTCGCGATACGAGGCCCCCTCCATCAACCGGCAGATTTGCAACGGGCTTTGCCAACCCTTCGGTGTAGCGTGCAGCGCCGGTAGTTATGGAGCTGCGCCGACCTCCTGTGTTGCCCTTACAACCGACGGTCTATGCTCAAAGACTTCACCGCCACCGCCGCCGCCACCACCGCCGCCGGCGCCGCCGCCGCCACCGCCACCGTGCCCGTGCGTGGCCTCCTCTCGAGCGTACGCAAGCTGTGCTAACGACTACTACTCGTGGAACCCGGCGACCTCGCGATACGAGGCACCCTCCATCAACCGGCAGATCTGCAACGGTGTTTGCCAAACATTGAACGAAGTGTGCGGCGGCGGCAGTAATTGGGGACCTACGACGACCTCCTGTGTTGCCCTTACAACCGACGGTCTATGCTCAAAGACTTCACCGCCACCGCCGCCGCCACCACCGCCGCCGCCGCCACCACCGCCACCGCCACCGCCGCCACCACCGCCGCCGTCGCCGTCGCCACCTGCGGAGGCGTGCGACGCAGTCGGCCGTTGCCGCGGCAACGACAGCCGGTGCGGCCACTTCAGCGGTGGCAACCCCACGAGCAACGTCAACTTTGGGTGTGGCTCCCAGCAGGCGTGCCGAGCTGTTTCGGCTGGCTGCTCCAGCAGCCTCTCGTGCACCGAGGACCAGTGCCTCGGCTGCAAGGACGGCTGCGACTGCCGCTGGTCCGCCACCGTGCCCGAGGAGTGTGCAGATACTGCCACATCTCCCCTGGGTGTGTGCTCCGGCAACGATTCCCGCTGCGGGCACTTCAACAACGGCAACCCGACCAGCAATGTCAACAACGCCCCTGGCTGCCCCAACAGAAATTCGTGCACCGAGGCCTCGTGCCTCGGCTGCGTCGATGGCTGCGACTGCCGCTGGAGAGCAGCTTGAGCCTCGCGACAGGGATGAGGATTCGCAGGGCCGCGGCAATCTAGCACGCCCCAGTCCGCACCTGTGTCTCGGCCGCGGATACGCTCGCGGATACGCAAGGGGCCCTGCCCGCGCGAGCCCCGCCGGCGGCCCCGAGGGCCCCGCGTGGGGGCCCTGCGCCCTCCGCTCGCAGCGCGCGCACCCTCCGCCCACCTATGACGCAGCTCGCAGCCACACCCACACCCACGGCGCGCCGAGCAACAGTCGTCGCCTCGCCTTGTCGCTGAGCGGCGAGTGACGCACACTTCGCGGGGCGGAGAGGGAGGCAGAGGAGCGGGGAGTGACTTTTTTTTCTGTGGAGTGGGGAGTGTTGGTAGTGTGGTTGGTCAGCGGTCGTGACTTTTTTTCTCAGAGATTGTAAGGCTACGGTCGTTGCAGCTGCTACCGGGAAGAGAGAAGGCATCGGTTGATGATGAGAAAGAGTGCAGAGAAAGCGGCCATCACAGGACAGAGGTGGACACAGCTGAGAGTGCTGTGCGTCCTGCGAGACCTCTGCGCTGACCTGTGCCGCACAACTCACCGTTGGATGACTGCACACCAGTACGGTCCACACCCTCTACGGCACTAGAAGACCAAGTACACAGCGGATAAGGTTGCAGCAACCGAGACAGAAAGGAAGCAAGCAGGATCAGGCAAACGAAGCGGGGACGTGGGCACTGCGCGGTTTGCGCATGAATCATCGTGCATCGTTGTGCTTGTGGAGGAGAAGCCTGGGCTTCAAAGGAAGCACGGCTCTCAGGACGTAGACCTCATGCGCACTCCGGGCATCCTGCGCAGTTTCCATTGCTCCACTTGCATTTATTTGACCAACGGTTGGAGTTGGAGTTGCACAGCGGTTTGCACACACCCAACGGGGGGGGCGACGGCGGCGGGCAAATGAGTGAGTAGTGCGAAGTCGCTGGCGCCGCTGCGGGGACTTCACTCAGCAGCGCCGGGTCGTTCGTGCTGCACGGGACACACATATTCTGAATCGAATATGAGAAGCCCGTGCACTCGGACGCCACTTTGCACATGTTGATGCAGTCCGTGAAGCTGCGCATCATGAAGCTGCCTCCGCCTGGCCCAAGCAGTGCCTGGTCGCTCGGGCATATCACACCCGCGACGGTGTCGCAGACGTCTGGCGATGGGGAGGGGGGCGGCGGCGTCATCGGCAAAGGTGAAGGGGGTGTGAAGCATTCAATGCAGCCTGCACACTTGAACCAAGCGCACTTGTTCGCCCAAGGGTTGGAGTTGAAGCTGCACATGCCTCTGCACGCTGGCGGCGGTAGGGACGGCGGTGGCGGCAGTGGCGGCGACGGCGGCGGGGGAAGCGGTGAAGGGGGCGTGAGGCACTCAACGCAGCCTGTGCACATGCCGTTGGCCCAGGCGCACTTATTCGCCCAGGGCCTGGTGTTTTTCAAGCAAAGGGGGTTGCACGCTGGCGGTGGCGGCGGTGGGGGCGGCGGCGGCGGTAGGGACGGTGACGGTGGTGGTGGTGGCGGCGGCGGCGGCGGGGGAAGCGGTGAAGGGGGCGTGAGGCACTCAACGCAGCCTGCGCACGCGCCGTTGACCCAGGCGCATTTGACCGCCCAGGGCTTGGTGTTCAAGTCGCACACCGTCTTGCAAGTTGACAGCGGCGGTGATGGTGGTGGTGGTGATGGTTCAAGAGGGTCATACACGCCACCGTACATATACTCGCCGTAGCCATATCCGAGCCGCCGCCGGGAGCGTGCCCTACGTAGGTGGCTGAGCGTCGCTAGCTGGACCGATGCCGGGCTGTGGTCAGGCAGCTCCGCGAGCGGCAGCTTGCTCGGTCCGGCAAAGTGGAGCGCGGTGTACCGTCCCAAGCCATTGACACCACTCCGCTCGAGATCATCAAGACTCACGTATCCCAGTCCATCGAGAACCGTCTCCTCCGCCCAGCAGCCCACTGTGTCTGCAAACAGCAAGTAAGGCAGGCCAAGGCCGCTCGCCACCGAGTCGGGCGGAAAGAGGCGGTGGCGCGAGTTCGCCTCGAACCAGGCAGCCACTCGCCCCGCGAGGGCTTGCTCGCGCCAGCGGTCAAGCGGCAGCAGCGCGGCCCCGAAGTTCCACGCCAGCTGCTCCCGAAACGGCCTTCCTGTCCTGCCCGTCCCGCCGTTGATGTCTTGCTCGAGAGACAGCAGCAGGGGCTCGAGCGACTTTGGGGCACACGGCATCTGGCCTTGCCCGATCACTCCCTCGTCACACGAGGGGTATGCCATTGGCCCGATAGAGCCAATAAAATGCGAGTCCGCGTAGGTGACCCGCGCGTTCGTAAGGTTGAGCCAGCGGCTCTCCCCGAGCGAGGCATGATGATACATGGAGCACGACGCCTGCAGCAGCGTACCCTTGGCAAGAGGTGCGTCGTAGAGGGGCCACAGGTCGCGCTGAAAGAGCACGTCATCGTCGACGAGCAGCAGACGATCTAGGTGTCGGAGCTCCGGTAGCTCGGACAGGTAGAGACGAAGGAGGTTCAGCGGGTGGGCGTGCTTTGCCTCCCGGGAAAGGGGGAAAACACGCAGCGACGCGTCTGTGCGCCACTTGGATGTGTTGGAATCGGCGTGCAGCCAGCGCTGCCAGTCCTCCCACATCCACACCGGATCGATGCCCTGGTCGACAAGTGCCTCCACTGCCTTGTTGTAGTCGATTACATGCACGTCCCTTCCGTCGAGCGCTGCGAGCACCTCTGCCTTGGTCGCAGTGGTGACGACGTGCCAGCGAAGTGCTGTTGATGGGCCCTTTGAGCCATATGCCGACTTGACGGTAGCTGCAAGCTCGCTTACCCTGTCACTTATCACACACAGGTGGACAACATGTCCCTCCTCCGGTGACGATGGATTGATCGACGGGATGACGGCCGCTCCCGCTTGTCCTGTCAAAACGCACTGTACAACGGCCGCCGCGAGTAAACATAGGACGTTTGCCCGCCTCATAGAGCAAAGCCGCCCAATGCGTCGTGGCCCGTGCCGGCAACTTCACGGGGGCTGGACGCGGTAGAAGAAGGCCGTGTTCGGCACAGCTCCGTGAGATTACGCATAAGCCGGCCAAATCTCCAATCTTGGCCCTTTTACTATGGCAAGCGCATGCCGACGGTCTACTTTTGGGGCTGCCTGATCTTCGCTTTCTTTAGCTTGCTGCTGCCTGCGTGGTTGGGAAACACAGGGAGGGAGAGGGAGGGAGGTGTTCTCTATCTGTGTACTGTGTGGAAAATTGTCAGGCAGGCAGGCAGTAAACAAACAAAGACGCCGGATGAGAGTCGTTGCTGATCTAGCCGTCGATCTCTGTCGGCCTGTCCCCGTTCTCGACTGTCCGTGCTTGCGCTTCTTTGGGCCCAGGGGCGCCAAACCTCGAGGGCCAAACGCGAGTGACGCGCACTCCCTCCATGACTCCCTCATGACGCCCCAACCCCCCTCCTGCTTGAGCGCACAGGCCTTCTAGGCCCGCGAGTAGCCCCTCCCCATCCCCGCGGCCTCTCCGGGGCACGCACCTCACCCTCTCTCGTAGACACACAGCACACCCTCTCGCACTACATCTCAACAGGAAGCCAACTCCGTGAACAGCCCCTGTCCTCTCTTCCCTCGAGATCAGAAATCGACAGACACAGAACATGGGCTTCCGTCGCACGGCCGCCTCCTCCGGCGCCTCAAGCGGGCCGGGCAGCGTCCCCGCCGAAGACCTCCGCTTCGCGTCCACCGCAGTGCTCGAGCAGGCGCCCGCCGCGCCGCCGCGCCGCCCGCCGCGCCGCCGCAAGCCTGAGCCGCAGCGCAAAGCACTGTGCACAGACACATGGTTCTCGCAGCGGAGAGCGCGAGCCGCGCGCGAGTTCCCGCGCGCCCCTCACCGTGCGATGCCTTCCCACTCCGCCGTCCTCCGGCCCGCAGGTCGCAGCCGAGTGCAGCGAGATGCCCGAGCAGGAAGTCGTGCCGGCCGAGGGAACGGCCTCTGGCGGCAACGGCTCGTCCACGCCGTGGGCGAGCAGCTCCGACCCGGAGAGCAAGGCGGACGCGGAGGCGTCGCAGGCCTCCGTCGCGCCGGACACCGTCGCTGCCGGCGAGGCGGCGGGCGGCGTCGGCGAGGAGGAGCCCGAGGCGCCCTCGTCGCAGGTCCCGGAGGTCGTCGAGACGGACGTCGAGGAGCACGAGGACGACGAGGACGGCGACGGAGAGGTCGATCCCGCGGCGAGGCCCGCGCCCGCAGGCTCGCCGGCGCCGATCCCGGAGGTTGTCGAGACGGACGTCGAGGAGCACGAGGGCGACGAGAAGGAGGCGCCGCCGAGCGACCCCTTTTCCATGCCCGAGAGCGAGCCAGTCCACCCGCCGCCGGCCGCGGCCGCCCCGCCGGGAGAGGGGACGTTGTCGCCGCCGCCGCCTCGCCGCCGGGGCCTGCACCAGCCAGCGGTCCGCACCGCGCCGGCGGCGCGCAAGAGGCCCACGCCCGCTCCCGCCACCCCGTCGGCCGCTCACGCGGCGCTGACCGAGGCGTCGCTCGAGGGCGACGCGCCGGCCGAGGAGGAGGGCGACGGGCCCACGCCGAGCGCGGCCCCGCCCGTCCGCCGCAAGCTCGACTCCAAGCCGCGCAAGCTGGGCCAGCCCTCTGGAGCGGCCAAGTCAAAGCCGACGCCGCAGCGCAAGCCGGGGGAGAAGCCGCGTGCACAAAAGTCGCGCGGCGAGGGCGCTGCGTCCGAGCCAAAGAAGAAGAAGGCGAAGAAGGACCCAGACGCGCCGAAGGGGGCGCTCTCGGCGTACATGCTCTGGTCGATGCAGGAGCGCAAGTCGGATGCCTACGCCGGCATGAAGGTGCCCGAGGCGGGCAAGGCGCTGGGCGCGACGTGGAAGACGATGGACGAGGCGGCGAGGGCGCCGTGGGTCGAGGCGTCGAAGGAGGACCACGCGCGGCACGCTCGCGAGATGGCGAGCTACGTGCCCAGCCCCGAGTACGCGCGCGCTCAGGCCGCCGCGCCCAAGGCGCGCTCCGGCAGCTCCGGCGGCGCCAAGAAGGCGGCGACGCCCGCCTCGCGCGGAGGCGGCAAGGGCGCGGCCGCGTCGGCCGCGAGCAAGAAGAGCGCCGCCGGCCGCAAGCGCAAGGCTCTGGCTCGAGGCGACGCGGACTCGTCCGACGACGAGGCCACCCCTTCCAAGCTCGCCTTCTCTCCCCCGCCGCCGCTCGCGGACGCGCCGCCGCCAATGCTGGAGGACGTCCGGCTGCTGCCAAAGGAGCGTGCCCCCATGCGCGCGCTCAAGCTCAAGGCGCGCGGCGCGCCTCGCCGGACCTCGCCCGCCCCCTCCATGAGCTCTGAGCCTGCCTCGGGCCGCGGCGCCGCCCGCCGCGCCCTCGCCCCGCTCTCCACCCCCTCCTCCGCGCCGCAGGTTGGCGCGAGGGTGGCGTGGGTCCCGCAGTGCTACAACGAGTTTGCAAAGCGCTACGAGGCGGAGCTGGACGCGCTCCAGCTGGTGATCGACGTGCCGGCCGACCTGCTCGAGAGCCCCGCCGACGGCACCGCGCACTGCGCCGAGATCGTCGCCATCCACCCCGCCGAGACGGAGGGGTGGGAGCTGCTCACTCTCCGCGGCGTCCCGTTCGGCGGCGGGTCCGGCGCGAGCGAGGGGGCAGAGTACTGCCTGCCGTACGTGCCGCGCCGGCTCTGCGACGTGGACCAGCACGTCTGCGCGCTCAAGGAGTACCTCGCCTCGCGCGAGCGCGCCCTCTCCGCCTCGGCGTCTCCGCACGTGCGCGTGCCCTTTGCCGCGCCAGACAGCGAGGGCGAGGAGGAGCTGTGGGAGGGGCGGGTGTGGAGCCGCAAGCCCTTCGACGCCCTCAACTACCCCGACTCGCTCTACCGCTGCCTCAACTGCGTGTGGTACGTCGCCTCCCCCCGCGAGCACGAGGGGGCGTCGATCCAGCCGCTGTGGGTCTTTGACGAGGAGCAGACGGACAACCAGGCGCCCGAACGCTCCACCCCCCCTCTCTCGAGTCGGCGGACACCGAGCCGCGCGTCCCGCCTTCCCCGCCATCAGGTGAGCCCGTGGGAGGCGCTCCCGAGCGACACGCACGGCCGCTGGTCCAAGCTGAACCCTCCGCTCGCAAAGCTGGTCGACCAGCTGCGCGTCGACCGCGACACCTACTCCAAGCTGGTGCCCGCCTCCGAGTCGCTCGAGATCACGGACGCGCTCGCCGGCCAGGCGGGCGCCAGCGGAGCCGCGCTCGAGCGCCTCCGCCAGGACACCTTTCTGCGCGTGCTCAAGCGCCTCCAGAGCAGCGAGCCCGGCCGGTACTTCCAGCCGCCCGTGCCGGCAGACGAGGTCGAGTACTACCGGCAGGTGGACCGCCCGATGTGCCTGGCCGCGGTCCAGTCGGGGCTGGAGGGGTCCAAGTACGCCTCGTGGGCCGCCTTCGAGGCGGACGTCGTGCTCATCTACGGCAATGCCATGGAGTTCAACGAGGAGGACTCGCTCCCCTTCTACCTGGCGCAGATGCTCGAGCACGAGTTCAACGAGGCCAAGGAGCTCGTCCGGCAGGCGCTGCCGGCCGTGCTCGAGTGAGCGACACGCGCGCTCAGGGCGCGGGGGAGAGACCGCGCCGCGAGCGCGAGCGCACTGCCGCTGCAGGCCAGAGCGGCGCTCAGCGGGGCGAGATGAGCGCCTGCCGCTCGACTGCCTCAAGATGGCCGATTGGCGAGACATGCGAGACTCTTTGTGGATGCTTGTAGCTTGAGCGAGAGCGCAAACTCTTGCCTTTATGGCTCGATGCACGATGAGGTGCCGTGGGTATGTGGCTTACGCACGGGGAGGGATGGCGGGAATGGTGTGAAAATCGTGGTTGGCCGCACCCACTGCACCAACCTTTCACCTGCCAGTGGCCGGGGCCGCGCGCGCGGTGCCCTGTTGCCCCCTCGGCAGCGCGCCGCAGCGCGCAGGCGCGCAGAGTGGCGAGCCGCGGCGCAGCGCGGCGCAGCGTTTTTCGGCGCTCGCGCCAAGGTCGGCTGTAACCTCGATCCGCTCAACCTCCTGCGCTTGCGCAGCTGTATGCGACTTGAGTGTGTGTGAGCGCCTGTGTCGTGATTCAGGGCTCAATTTTTGTGCTCTGCTGCACTGATAGAGCCGGATGGTTTCATGACATGGCCCCCCGGATCTCTGTCTCCTCGAATCAGCGTCTCAGTCTCAGATCCACACGTCTCTAGAGTGCGCTGGCAGCGAGAGCTACAACTACTGACCCAGCACTCGAGCTGAAGCCATCCGCTGCGAGATCCCTTTCAGAGAGTTGCTGCCAGACCCCGTGGTGGCTCGCACCACCGCTGGCGCCCACAGCCCTTCATCCGCGACGTGCGTGTGGCCCAAGGGTAGCGTGCCGGCGGGAAGGGGTCGTCCTTTCCACCCACGAGGCAGCGCTGGAGGTCAGTGGTGGTACGGGCAGGCGGGCCCGCATACACAACGCCACCGCCTTCTCTCCATTCGGTCATCAGCCCATGTGAGGAAACGGTTGTGCGCGCGAAGCTTCGCTCGGCTCGCCCAACGAAGTAGAGGTCTGCGGAGAATCCAGGATAGACGCAGTTCGTTGCAGCCGGGTGTGCTCCTGACAAAGCCCCTGAGCTGCCGGCACGAGGCTGCGAGCGCTCTCGCGATCCCACTTTCCTGGCTCATAAGTAAGCCGAGGAGGTCAAAGGAGAGCCGAAGGAGGGGAGGCTGAGGGTCGACCACAGCCACCGACTCCTCTCGGCAGGGGGGCGTCATTTGTCGTTAGCCAGATTCAGGCCGCGGCGGCCGGGTGACGACACTCTCGGCAGGTAGAAAAGGACGTGCTGGCGCGCGGAAGATAAGTTTGAGCTACGCTGAGATCGTCGGTAGGTGACTCTGGAGAAGCAGCCGTGGAGATGTCGGACGGAGAGGTCCTGATGACGGCCGACACGACCCGACTGAGCCGATACAATGACGAGGTGGCGGCGGCGTACCGGACCACGGTTGCCTTCGAGGAGATGATGAGGAACCGGGCGCCCGGCCGAGCCCCCCAGCGACCGACGCTGATCCTGGCCACGGACGCGTCCACGGTGATGGGGACCGAGATGGGGGTGGTGCAGCGCATAGCTGGTCGGGGGGGGGCACTCGACCCCAAGGACTTGGCGTCGATGCGGGCCACGGACCTCGACGAGCTGAACGTGGCGGCACCCGAAACGATAGGCGGGCCGGTCTGGGTCTATTTCCTCGACGATAAGGGCGGCTTCAGGGCGGACTGGGTACTGGTGTGGGCGACCCCACACCCGGGCTCGGGTCTGACCAGGGCCCACATCCAATATGTGGGTCGAGACACCCCGCACAACGAGCCGGGATGGGGGGCGGGCTTCTGTGGCGTGACATGCCGCGGAGAGCAGGACCTGCAACCAGGCCGCTCGGGGAAGGTTGACCGGCTTGTCACCCGAAGCGCCAGCGGCTGGACCACCTGCCTGGACCTTGAGAACGGTGTGATGGCTATCCCGGCGAAGGGGGGGCCCGGAGCGAGGGAGGTGTGCGTCGATGGGAGAGAGGTCGACATCTCGATGCCCCCGGAGGAATGGCGGGATCCCCTCGAGTTTGTGGTGCGGAAGACCGTTCGGGTGGCTCGACAGCTCACGACGATGCAACCCCGTAAGCGGCGGGCGGTTGGGGCGCGGTTGCGGAAATGGGCGGGGACGTCGGTCGATGAGATACTCGAGGCGACCATGTCCGTGGCGCGAGAGCGACCCCACGAGCAGGCTCGCGGCGCCGGAGCAGCGATGGGCCGGGAGAGGGTGACGAGGAGAACGACGGAGGCCCCGGCGCCGCGGACGGAAGACGCCGTCTCTACCCTCCTATCGGCGGCGGCGTTTGCGGTGGCGAGACACCTACAGACACTCGGGGGGGGGGAGGGGGCGACCAGCCTCGAGATAGACTGCCGAGAGCGCCGACCGTCTGCCCGTGCGTCAACGGTGGCCAGTGTACGCTCGGAAGGGCCGACACCGTCCTCGGGGATCACTATACGGACGCGGTGGCGGGGCTGGAAGGCCCCGTAGCCGATGGGTGGGCGGGGGTTCGGAGGCTTCCTGGTGAGCTGGATTACGCCTGCATATGCATATGCGGAGAGACCTTCCCCACCCGCCTCCGGCGCGATATCCACGTTCGGGCGGCGAAGGCGGGAGAGGCGCATGACATCCCGCCAGAAGCGAGACCGCGCCTGGCGGCGGCATACATCCTGGTTGATGCGGACGCCCTCTCGCCGTACGAAGCGGGGGTGGCAGCGGGCGCGAGCCGGATGGCGACGCGCGGCGATCAGCTAGAGCACAGCACCTCGTCAGAGCAAAGAGCGCTGCTGGATGCGACCCGCGAGTGCGCCGACGCCATACCTGACGGTGCGGTGGTGGTGGGGTCTACCGACAGCGACGCGATGCGACGGGCCTTCCTGTCCACGTGTCACCGGAGCAAGTCGGTGAGGGACATGGTCCGAACGTCCGAGGCGGGGGTGCTCCGAGAACAGAGCCGGGTGATCGACGGATACAACGACCGAGGCATCGACTTTGCCGCCACGTGGGAGCAGGCGTACCATAACCGCGGCCAGAGGCAACGGTGGGACGGCAGGACGGGGCTGCTAGCGAGGCTGAACCACGGGTGCGACCTGCTGGCAGGACACTACGCTCAACATGGGCGGAGTAGGGAGCTCGACTTCTACGGGGCAATGGAACCGCAGGAGATGGCGACCTACTATTATACAGGAGGCGGGAGGCCGCTGTTCGGTGACCCGTACAAGCAGATTGGCGAGCGGGTAGAGGCGGTCAAGGCGCAGAGGCTGCTCCAGGAGGATGAAGACGCGCCGAGCCCCGGGGATAGGAGGGCGACGCTGCTCCTCCGACTGGGCGCTGACGGGAAAGTCGACCTGGGAGCGACGGCCGGCCTACGCAGAGCGATTCTAAGATCAGGTCTACCACTGGGCGAAAATCGGCCGTCCCTCAGTGCTTCCAGCCTGCCCGCTTGAGTTTCCTCAATTGGCTCGAATTTTGCTTAGTAGAAAAAAGAATAGCGCGGTGGCTGGCCTCCGCGGGCCGCCGGAGCGGGCATTTCGAAGTGGTCAGCGGGCATTTCGAAGTGGTGCGGCGGCAGGCTGCCACCGCTGCCCGGGCGCCCCGAGCGGCGGCGGAGGGCCGCCCAGGCCACCACCAGTGCCCCTCCCACCGGCGGCGCGGCGGCAGCGGCGCCGACCGCCCCTCCATCAGCGGTGGCGCGACGGCTGTCGTCGGGGCGCCGGCAGGTGCCGCGCGCAGAGGGTGCCACCGGACCGGCTGACGCGCGCCCGGCGGAACCTTCGTCGTCCATGGCGGGCCGAGCACCCCCGCGTCGCTTCTCGGCGCATTGGAGAGCAGAGGAAGCTGCTGGCGTCGCCGCTGGGATCGGCGGCGGCGCCAGCAGCGTTCTCGGATCTGAAGCCGACTTTGAGCGCCGATCGATCGATCTGAGGGCTGGCCGATGGGTGGCGCTGGGACATCGCCGCCGCCGCGGAGGCCGGCGGCGACCAGAGGAGCGGTTGGGGCGCGTGGCGCATATGTTACCTGCCAAGTGAGCATTCAAGTGTGCTTCGAGATTTATTCGAGATTTGAAACTTAGATTTTCGTTTCCAGCGGGGAGGTGGCAGACCTGATCTTAGAATCGCTCCGCAGAGCACTCCCGGGCCCGCTCTTGGAGGAGGCTATGCGGGCCGCGCTAGGAAGAATGAGCTGCACGGCGTCAGAGTTACAAGCGCAGGGTGGGCCGGACGCTGAGACCATCCGGAGGACAGTGCGGCTGGAAGGAGCTCGCCCCCGAGCCGCGTGCCACCTATGCGAGGGCGGCCCGGACACGCGCGCCCACTCGGCGCTGCGGCGTCGCCTCCCCGCCCTGTCCACGGAGCAGGCGAGCGGCGGCACGGCCTTCCACCAGCTGCAGGAGGTGCGCACCTCCCAGTGGAAGCACAGGATGCTCCCTCCGCATACGCAGCTTTGCGCAGCGCAGCGTACGGGCCACGCCACGCAAAGCCGACCCTCAGTCTGCCCGAGAGGCTGTCGGAGGAAGGCCTGGCAAGCGTGTACTCGCCTCCTCCGCGGCCATGCCCTCCGCGCGGGCGAGCGAGCAGCGCGAGAGGACACAACCCATTTCGGGAATCGTCCGGTGCACTTGGAGCACTTGGAGTGCAGTCATTAACCGCACATCCAGGGCCGGGGAGCTCAGAAGCGCACCCAGCGGGCCGGATGATTGGCATCGGGTTACGGGCTAGAGAGCCCTAGCCCCGGGGGTGCGCGTTCGCAGGGCAAGGGCCTTAAAGTAAACACAGTCCTCCGAGGGTTGGACCCGCGTACCGGGTTTCCCCTTAACTGCAGGACGCCCCCTCTACTCGGAGCTAGTGGACATTACACTGGACACCACGCCCAAACACAGACACTTGCTTAGTCCTCGGTCCCGGGGCTCCACCTTCGGTCCTCCCGGGGCTCCGGTTCTCCCCGATTCGCTCTCTTGCTCGCTTGCCGAGCGTCATACGACGGCCGGTGTGGTCGTTTCCCTCGTTGTTGGTGTCGCTTCCTCCGCTGCCGCCTTTCGTCTTCGCCAGCCTCTCCCAGCTCCACCGGTTCTGAGAGTGTCGACGGCCCGGCCGGGGTCACCCCGGGCGAGACCTCCGCCGGCTCCTCTCCGGGCTCGGGGAGGCGTGGCCCTCCCTGTCGAAGGTCGTGGTGGGCCGGTCTTTTTCTTCTTTTCCGAAGTGTCCTTGCGTGCAAAGTCGATCGACTTCGCACGCTGGGCTGCTTCTCCAGCCGCGTCGAGGCCCCGACCGAGGAGCCGCTCGGCCCTCCCGCCGTCGAACTCGACGCCCCGACGCCCGCCGACACCGCCGCGCCGACGCAGCCGGCCGCCGCCCTCCCCTCCGCCCCCGATCTCGGCGTGAGCGAGGAGAAGCTGGAGCTGTGGCGCGAGCTCGGCGGCGGCGACCTCGAGCCGGTCCTCGCGAGCGGCGCCGTCGCCGTCCTCGACGCGCAGTGGGTCATCCGCCACGCTGAGGCGGGCGGCGTCCTCACCCACCGCCAGGCGCTGCCCAAGGAGGCCTTCCTCTCTTTCGCCGACCTCGTCGAGGCGACCGGCAAGTATTGCCTTCCCGTCGCCGCGCTCTCCTACCCGTGGCTGACCAAGGACCACCCCGACCCGCGCGGAGCCAACCTCTCCCGCGTCGCGAGGGCGCTCAAGGCCCTGCTCAGCCATATTGACATCCCGCGGCTCGGCGTCTTTTGGGACTTCGGCTCGCTGCACCAGCACCCCGACCCCGCCAACGGCGTCCTGCGCACCGAGGAGCAGAACGCGCTCTTCAAGCAGGGGCTGAGCTGCCTCGGCACGCTCTACTCCCACCCGAAGACTTGGGTGCTGCGGCTGACCTCCTTCCCGGACGGCCACAAGAAGAAGAAGATGCCTAAGGGCACCAACGTGGCCAAGTACTTTGACCGCGGCTGGTGCTTCACGGAGCAGAGCTGGGCTGGCCTGACAAAGGCTGGCCACCTCTCGCTCGACCTCGGCAAGATGCGCGACGGCGTGGAGTACGACTACTGGAGCCTCCGAGACGACTGCACCCAGGACGGCGGCCGGCGCCCTCCGCTGCTGCCGTCTGCGTTCGCGGCGGAGCTTGAGAAGAAGAGCTTCACCAACGGCAAGGACGACAAGCCGCTGGTGAAGCGGCTGTACGAGGCCGCCTTCGAGGAGCAGTTTGGCAAGGCGACCGTGCTGAAATACACCAACCTCGGCTGGGGCGACGCGGAGGCGGCGCAGCTGGCGGAGGTCCTCGCGAGCGGGGCAGCGCCGCGGCTCGACACGCTTTCTCTCGGGAACAACAAGATTGGCGACGAGGGCTGCAAGGCGCTGGCCGCCGCCCTCGGCAAGGAGGGGGCAGCGCCGCGGCTCGAGTATCTCTATCTCGACAACAACGAGATTGGCGACGAGGGCTGCAAGGCGCTGGCCGCCGCCCTCAAGGAGGGGGCCGTCAGCTTTCTCGTTAT